GGGTCTAAACACTAAGCTCCAGAAATGAATTTTCAACTTCTCCCACAACTGTTTAGCTAATTAACAGTTAAACAAATTGAGAGCCTTGTGATGATTTCTAATAGTAATGCATTCAAGACTTCTGTAGACACATGCTGTGACTAAATGTTTATGTCATGTCAGCTTTTTAATTGCTGTTGTGTAGTACAGAGTTTACAACTGATGTAGGGACAGTGATGATTGCAGAGATCACCATGAGCAGATATGCTTTTGGGGTTGTTGGATTTCCCATTCACAGCTATTTTATCCACTGTGGTAATGGAACTGCCTCGCAGTATATTTTATTTTCAATACTGCCATCCTTTGAAAGATAGATTGCTTGTCACATCTGCTCTGTAAAGAAACTGATTTCCTGCTTTGAAAGGAAAGATGGAAACCCATGAGTTCTGTCACAGGCTGTCTCTGTGAGCATGATACAACTTGGTAAGGTTATTCATCTACAGAATGGTAATGTACCCCATGCAACAGGATGATGGTTCAACTCTTACATTAACAGCCAAAATCTTTTTTTGAAAGTATTCTGAAACAGCCACCTGGTGAAAACTGAAAGTTTGTATCACTGTTCATAACACTAAGAGGGAAACTTCCAACCTATGAGGATTAGGTTTTGTCAGTTGATCTTGATGGTGCTTTGTAACCTTAAAGATAAAATATCCCATATCTGACTTGGCAGCTTTACCTAGACCGAGAATATGATTAACTCTTGACATAGTACATATGCTTTGGGTATTCAGAACCCTGGTGAAACTAATAAAGAAAAAGTAACCTGTAAACTATGTGATGTCTTCTGCAGGTGCTACAACCCTTTTTCAGAGCTGAGGTCAGTGGTGGCTCTGGTCATTTCTGCTGTGGTGTCAGGATCCTCATGGTACATATGTGTGTGATAGGTGGTGGGAAAGTATGTTATCTCTCACAGTAGAAAGAGGATTCCTGGCCTGCAACTAGAAGCTTGTTATGAGGCTTAAGTTAAGCAGTGCACCTCTGTTTGGAAAACATCTTAGGCTTTCTCATGTTACTGGAGGTGTATTTCTGTATTAACCTTGTGAAAAGTTTATCTTAACCTGTGTTTAAAGTTTCTAAAATGTTTGCTAGGAAGAGTTCTGCACAAAGCCAGACTCAAATCAATTTTTGTTTGTGCTTGCTGGAAGAGTAGTGAAAAGTTCTTTTATTCCAGTGAGCTTTTTTGTTTTATGGTGTTGCTGTTTGCAGGGTGAAAGTTAGTTGTCAGCACTTGCATTTGTAAATCTCTTTTTAAGGGCTGATTACTCTGAGCTGAAAGTTGGCAGGCAAGATCTCAGCCCTAGAGCATTGTTTGGGGTTTTGCATGTTTTTAAATAACAGATCTATCTGACTGATTTGGTTGAGAGTGCATGCTGCTACTCTAGTAACTCCAGACAGTGAAACAGGTTGCATGAAAGCACCCTTTAAATATGAATTAGAAAAATTAGAGATGACTGCTAATGAAAGGCAGGAGTATCAAGGGCTACACTCCAGGGAGGTTTTTTGGGGGTTTGACAGGGGCAGCAGTGGTTTTGTTTGCTATGTAACAATGAAGTAGATGTCTTCTCCAAACTGTTTGCAAGGTTGTGGTGCATGTGGATGCAGTGTGTGTATAAATACCTTCAGATGGTTGAACATTAACTCTTACCAGTACTATAAGATACCTAAACCTACACTAAAATGCAGTGTAAAGGTTAGTCTGATACTGGCACCACACTTACACACACATGTGGCTTTTGGATGAGAGCAGTCCCAGTTCTGCTTGGCTTGGCAGCTGGACAAGAGTGATCATGTGGTTGTGTGCACTTATCTGTACAGTCATCCTGTGAGCCATTGCTGGTTTGTATCTAGTATCTTCTGAAATTATGGAATTCTTATAATAAGATAGCTTTGAAAATATTTACCAGTAAAGAACAATGCTGTCAACTTCAAAAAACCCAAAACCTCAAAAACCCACACAAACAAAAAACCAACAATAAAAAAACCTCACAAAACCCACAAAACAAACAAAATCCACATCTTTTTAATTGTGAAGATGGTTGGGGATGTTGCAGGGTGAAACCACTAGCCTGAAATAGCTGTGTTGCTCAGCCAGGTGATCTCAGTCTCACCTGAGAATATTCTGGTATGTCCTCAGATTAACCACTAGTGTCCAGAGGGACAAACAGTTCTGTATGAGGGAAGGCTGCCTGCCCCCATTGCCTTCAAACTAAGGAGAAAACAACTTTTTTGTATTAAGGTGCTCTTCCCGTTCCTGTTTCAATTACCAGTCTGGCAGACTGAGCAGTGTATTACAGTTTTGGGGACAGCAAGAACTTCATGGTTAAATGTTATGCAATTTCTAAAGAAACATGTTTTTACCATGTATTTTAACCTTCTGTGTCTTGCTTACTTACAAACCAAGTTCAAACTGCTTTTGGTAAGTCTCAGTAAAATCTATGCAGTTCCTTTTGGGTTAGGTGGTTGTCAAAATAAGTGTTTGTCTCTAGATATGTCAAGAGCAGACTTACTCTCAAGTTGCTGAACTTGACTCATTACTCTGTGATGACCAAATGGCAAGCCAGAAGGAAACATAGTGATTTATTAGATGCCTTTACAGAATTGAAATCATGTATGCTATTACAAAATTATAACTGGTTTCTTCTAAATCAGTTTTAAATGCAGTCCATTCTGTAGACTATGTGTAGACATAAATAGTGGAAGACAGAGATTTTTGTGAAACTGCTTACTATAAAGTAGAAATACTATTTAACGAGTTTATTTACGAGATTGTATGTCTCTGAAGGTTTTTCTTGTGGGTTGTTCTTGTTTTAATAACTTGAATTAGTGGGACCGTGGGAACTTCATGAAGTTTGGCAAAGCCAAGCCCAAGATCCTGCATGTGGGTTGGGGCATCTTCCAGTATCGACACAGGCTGGGGGATGAAGGGATTGAGAGCAGCACTGCTGAGAAGGACTTGGGAATGCCGATGGATGAGAGGCTGGGCATGACCCAGCAATGTGCACTTGCAGCCCAGAGAGTTGCTGCATCCCCAAGAATGTGGCTAGCTGCTGCATCCAGCTCTGGGATCCTTAGCCCAGGAAGGACATAGTCCAGTCCTTGGGACGAGTCCAGAGGAGGCCACGAAGATGGTTAGAGGGATTGAACACCTCTCCTATGAGGAAACATTGAGAGTGTTGGGGTTGTTCAGCTTGGAAAGAGAAGGTTCCAGGGAGAGCTCACTGCAGCCTTCTGGTACTTGAATGGGGCTTTTTACCAGGGCATGTAGTGGTAGGACTAATGGTTTTAACCTGAAGGAGGGTTGATTCAGATTAGACATAAGGAAGAGGGTTTTTACGCTGAGGTTACCCAAAGAGGTGGTAGGTTGCCTTGTCCCTGGAAACATTTGAGATCAGGCTGGGTGGGGCTCTGAGGAACCTACTCTAGTTGAAGAGGTCTCTACTCATTGCAGAGGAGTTGAACTAAATGAACTTTAAAAGGTCTCTTCCAACTAAAAAACTATTCTGTAATTCTATGAATGAAAAAATTGCCATCTGATTCTGACAACTCAGTGTTCTGCTGTAGGTAGTGCTATCTCTATCCCAAACGGGTTTTCCAACTTGCATTTTTCTCTTGAATGTCTCCTACTTATTGCAGCAACGTGTATTTATGCAAAGATATGGTTTATCAGTCAGCAGTTCAGTGTATCTTTTACATAAGTTAACTCTTCGGTCAGATGATAATTTTTATTGCTGCATTGAAATGCACCATTTAACTTGCTCACTAATTTGGCTATTAAACTAGCATCAAAAGAGGATAAACTCTTCCAAACCATCAATCCTTATCTGTAGTTTTTAGAGCTACTGGCTATTGATTGTGGTTTGTGTAAATAAGCTTTTATATGACGATATATATCAGTACATGAAAAGCATGCTAAAACATATCCCGTGAAGAACCTTTAACATTCCATGATTTTTATTGTTTCTCTGAAGTAACACTGCATTTTTCCACAAACACTGTATTCTTTGACATGATAGTCATGGAAGTCTGTAGTCATGTATGTTTTGTTTCTTGGGGGTCTGGTTAGTGACAGCTCTACAGTAGAAAAGTTGATGGCTTTAACTTCCCAGAACAGCCTTGCATGTGGAGTTGTTTTGAAGTACATCATAGCTGATGGGATTTGCAGCAGAGCAGTTGACATCCTGGGGACTCCTAGCAGTGCGATAGTACTAAGTGAAGAAGATTGCAAAGGAAGCTCTTTTTGTGTTTGGTATCTTTCCATGTGGCTTATCCATTTGCAGAAGGGCAATAGCTCATCATTGTTAAAATCGTGGGAGTTGGAAGGCAGGCTGTATCTTCTTCAAACAAATTATAATGCCTCCCTTGTTTTGAGAGCCATTTTGATTCTAAATGATCAAAATGCAACTTAAATACATAGGTTTGGCATTGTAATTATTAAAAATAATTTGTTTACAAGGTGGGTGGGTTTAGTGTGGTGTGTATCACAGCAAATCTGCATATCTTATGATAATATAATTATTAGTTTGAGTAGTGCAAACAAAGTTACCTAGAGCTTCAATCTAGACCTGGCCTGTGATAAGCATCTTGCATAATCTCATCTAAGGGGCTTCTGAAAAGTAGTAGGGTGATATGCTGCTCTAATTGCTGCTAGCTTGCCCAAGAAGTCTGAAGTTGCTATGTGCACATTGCAGTCTTGTGTTATCAAGTTGGCTAACAAGTTGTCTACCCTCAGCTGAAATTAATGATTTAGCTGAGTATTTTGTGCCTGATGGCCAGTTAGCAAATGCTTTAAAGGAAATATGCGTAGTGGAACTTTACTCTTTTTTGATAGACTCACATGATCTTAGCTGTTTTCCTTCCATTTATCCATAGATGTACAAAGTTCTGGTGCTAGCACTGAGTATCAGCAGATGGAAGACATTGCAGCATGACAGGCTGATCCTAGAAGAGAACGGGAATTTGTGAAATAAGCAGGTGACAGAAGAATGCAAAGAAGTACCTTGGCATTGATTTGGGGATCAAAATGCTGGGTAGATAACATCATTGCTTACTGAAGTACATTTGTCTTCCTGTGAAGTAGACTTTGGCTTGTGAATCTGGACTAATGTGTATGTTCAAGGTTAGTATGGTCAGCAGTGGAGCTTATATACAGTGAGCACAAAATGAGTAAAGAGTCTTGTGCTCTTTTCAGAAAGGAAAATTTATCCATAATTTTGAAATGCTAAACACAGTTTCTTTAAAGAATATTAACAGAAGTGTTCTCCAAGAAGTTTAGACACCGTCCGTAGTGTTAATGTGCCTACATCTTCCCATGCGTGGCTTTGAGCAATATGGAGTCTTGGCTATTTAATACCTGCTTCTGAAAAACTGCTTTCATTATGAGGATGATTTTTGGGTATTTTATAAAATACAAACAACCTGAATGAGTTCCAGACTTTCTACTATGTAAACTATGGGTATATTTGTATGTGTGTTACACTGTATGTGAGGAATAGCATAATTTTTTTTAATTTAATTTTTTTGTGTTTTTTTTTCCTGTACCATTTCTTCCTTATTTAAGTAGTTTCTATTCAGAGTTGAGACGCAGAGTGTTAGGAAAAGAAACTTCTGGCAATATAAAAGTGACACAGTACATGTGTTTCTTTTGAAAATGCATTTTTCATACTGACTTTACTCAACAGCATGAAGTGATAAGCAACTTTGTGATAAGTTCATCTAAACTGAATGGTTCATCCTCTTGGGGATGTCAGTATATTTGTTTTTTCAACTATATGTACAAAGTATTTTTTGTATAATCCGAAATACAGGTGCTTGAATCAGTTCATAGGTGAATGTCTTAATTTTACTTGAAAATTTTGGAATGTATTTAGTTAGTTGTGTTGAAAGGCTTTTGGTTTTGTCCATTTCAAAATACCATGTAAAGGAGATTCTGTGGGAGGCCATAATGCCATAGACTGAGAGAAATACTTCTTAACTCCAGTCTTTTGGAGTCAAGGTAGCCTAAAAGACACGTAGGTTGCTAAAGAATGGAACAATACTAGTAACTTCCATGTGCTGCAAATATTTAATTTTTTTTTTTTAAAAGGAGTTTGTGAGGAGTTTGGTGTCTTGGTGTCTTGCATTGTTATAGATGCAGTAATGGAATTTCCATGTGAAGGAGAAACTAAAAAAGCATATCATGTCTTTTCAGAAAAGAAAAAATAACAAAGGCCTGATTTTTACACCCCAGTAGTACTTTGAGACTTCACACTTTAAATTAGCTTTTATTGTTTTTTAAATATATTTTTTAAAAAATAACAGCATTAAACAGTAGCATCAAATTTCAAAGCAAAGTCACTAGACTTTTAACTCTACTCAGATTTTTACTTGTCTAATCAAATAAAATAACATTTTGGGATGACAGAGCAGAACAACTGGTTGAGCGTTACTAATCGAACAGAACTGTTGTAACATGCTTCTTAAGTGCTGCAAAGATAAAGTGACCGTCAGAATAGTTACAAAAGACAAAGGTTGGTTTGTGACTAAATGGGTCTTAGTGAGTGGAGTCTTCCAGGTGGTATGGAGAAGTCATGGTTTGAAATCCAATCTCATTAATTAAGGTGAGAATCAAGAGAAACTTTCCCAGTGGAGTTTCCCTGCCCAGTGCTGTAACCAGTGTTCATCTGCACTCCCAGTGACTGGGAACTGAGTGTATCCTCATCTCTGCCATAATGTTTTGTCTGGATGCATAATCCCAACCGTATTGTGTGGAAGTTCTTTGGACCTTCGATCTGAATCAGCATAGCGTGTCTGGAATGGCTGTGGGTTCTTGGGAATTTCAGCAACCACTTACAGAATCTTTTGTCTTCCTATTTCCACAGCTTACAAAGGTGACCAGTAAAGTTCTCTCTGAGCAGCCAAAAAGCAGACAGCTCATGACTTCTGATCAGGACACTAAAGTTGTGGCTGAACCGCAGGTGCAGCAAGTACAAGAAGTTAAGGACGGTTCTCATCTAGTAAGTATTATAATTACATGTTCTCCTGGTCTGAGTGTCGTATGAAACATTTTTTCTTTTACGATGTCTTAATCAAAATTGTAGGTCAGAACATTTTAGAAAACAGCTGACAGACAGCATTGCAACATTAAACAGCTAGAACAGAGCTGTTGGAGGTGGCTAATTCTCCATATCGAGTAGGAGCCTCACCTTAACTTTCCTTCAGCTCTATGGGGGGATTTAAATAAACTGCAAATTACGGCAGTTTGCACTCATCTAAGGTACAGGGATTTTCAGACTATGCAAGAGTTGTTTTACCAATCTTGGAATAGGCTCTTGCTCACACATTAACATGTGAGGAAAATGCAGGAAATGCACTTGATGTGTGTAATTGAAGAATGTACAAACCCATACAAATAGGAAATAGCAATCTGTAACAGGAATTTTGCTCAGTCAGTTCTGCCAAATGGCACATGCTGCTGTTTCCGTGCTACTGTGCAGGATCCAGGAAGTCACTGCATTGGGATGTTTTGGCAGATCATACAGTGGATTGTACTGTGTTATATACATTGTAGCAAATGTTACATCTTCAAGGAGGTTGAGTACTTGATTTGTATTCAGATGTGTTTGTATCTGCATCTTTGTTGGTGTTCCTCTTGGGACATTGAAGAGTTTGGTTTCGGTGTGTGTTCTGCCAGGCACTTTCCTCATGCTGTGCTGAGCAGCAGATGCTGCCTGCTTCGACTTACCTTGCAGTAAGTACTAAGGAGCATTTTGAAAAACACTCTGAACTTGTGCTTTTCTTTACTAAACAAGCTGGTGGACTTTTGGCTTGTTCCTCTCCCCCTTTTTTTTCATTCTGAGTTCCCTTCTGCTCTGTTTGACATTTCTCAGATGTGCATTTTGACTGTTTCACACTAGAGGAAAAAATTCTCCCCGGTTTTGTGCCATACTTCTGAAAAATGAGCTTTTGTGATGTGCTTTTTTTCTACCCCTGTACTCAGGGCATTAATGCCCAAGAAACCAGTGTGTAAGCTTTGAATAAGAGGTGTTTGCAAATTTGCTTCAAAAGCTTGGAAGGGTCAGTGCGTTTCAACAGGTGCATTAGTATTAAAGGCAGTCTGATTAGTCTTCATGTGGATGCTAGCTCTTTTAATTTGACATACTAGATTTTATGAAACTACATGAAAACTTGGATCTCAATCCTAATTTCTGTTCTTTCCTGCTTATTTGGAGAAATTTCAGAAGAGCTTACTGTTCTCTTCCTTAGTACCAGGGACTGATGTCAATTTAGATATCTTGGAATGTGTCCGTAGTGCTATAATGGTACATTTCAAATATCTACTACTTTGTGATTAAAGCTTTTCCTTTGAATATCTGAAAAAGATGAGACCTGTAGCTTATTAAGTTTTCTTTTAAGTTGTACCAGTCTCATACTCTTCTATACACAGCATCAGAAGGTCATTCTGTTTTATGAGCATCATTCTCAACATATTCTGTTAAAAGTGGTGTTTTTAAAAAGGTCTCTTCTACAGTGCTATGCTTACATGAGTTAAATTTACCAGTATTCCAGGACACACTTGCAAGTTTTGGGAACAAAGTTGTAGTTGGAGTAAAACTTCACAGAGTGCATGAAGAAATTAGCAGACTAAAATCATTAAGACACTTTCAGCTTTCCCTAAATGGTAGGCAGGAGAAAAACTTCTGGAATGCTGACTCTGTTTCCTTTAGCAAGTACATGCTTCAGGTGAAGTGAAATCCACCTGCTGTTTCTTGTGTCTTAATGATTTTGAGATCAGAGGGCTAGACTGCATAAAGGCATGGATGCATGATTGTGATGATCCCCACTTCAGTGTGTATTTGATATGGGGCCGTACTGCCATGATAGCTAGAGAGGTTTCTAAGAGTTTTTTTTTTTTTTTAATATACTTTATAAGAAATGTGCTGAAATGTTCTCCAGCTGTTTAGGCTGTGCTGTTCCACTGGGATCTCTTGATCTCTAGTCCAAATGGTTTTGTGACAGTTCAGGAGGAAAGTTGTAGAATTTCTATGGGAGATTTTGATGCACCTCTGGAGATCCTGAAAAATTAACTAGTATGCTAATTTTAATCTGAAGTGGTTATATAAAGCATTTTTTGTTTTATCTGTTAATAATAAATAAATTTTTCTAATTGTGACTTCAGTTTGGCTGGAACAAAACTGAACACATGTTCTGCTGTGAGTAATGCTGAACAGGTATTCAGTAGTGACTAAATTAAAATTGAAGCTTTGATGTTGTGATGGAATCCTTTCGGAAATCACTTACCAGTGTTGCTGGTGTTAAAGATACAGAGGTCACTTGTTTAGTAATAATTTTCAAAGTTTTAATCTCATAGTGAGGGAGGCAAAGTCTTTTCTTCTGCCTTGAAGTAGCTATAAAACTATATACTGTTTAATGCATAATGTAGATCAATTGCAAGCCTAGTATGGTTCATTTCTAACAATAAATCTTGTGTTTGGCTGATTTTAGTAGTATTTAACAGCAGAATTTTGGTGGTTTTGCACACAAGTCATTTGAAAGAAATTGGCAACTGGAGGATCCTTATAAATCTCTTGTCAATAGAAGCTTGGACTTACACATTGGAGGTACATAATTTATAGGATACTAGCAGATTCATAGCTTTGATAAATTTGAGAGTTAAATATACTAGTTTTTTCAACTTCTGTAACCCAAAGGTAGCCTTTGTAACTTCAGGTGAGGTCTGTCTTGGATTCTTTGTATCCTGACTGAGAGTTACTCTTTCGGAGAAAGCCCTTGTGAGTCTGGGCCCAGGAAGGTCGGCCTTTAAGAAACATTTCACTGGGATTTAATTCACTTCTGTGTTTCCTTTTCGATAATAACACTTTCCCATTAGAAATTACTTTGAGGGAAGAGGCCACGACCCAAATGCCATGGTGGAGATAGCTTGTATGACCTGTCTCTGCCAGGCACGCATAGTCTTTTTCCTTGTTTGTTGATCTTAAACTCTTCCTCTGCCATGCTCACATTTTTCCAAGTACCAAAGAATTTGTATTCCTTGATTGGCTGAATTGAAGACCTGATCTGGAAGTTTGAAAATAACTTTAGGTGGGATTCTTGCCCTCAAGCGACAGTGGGTTCTGCAAATGTTGCATATTCCAGTGGAGGATATTGCAGCGAGGCCACTTAAACTTGCTGCCTGATTGCAATATCAGCATCACCCATTCTTTCCCTAGCTGAATAACTATCAGGTGCTGCCATGGGTTTCTGTTAATGGGAATTCAAATCAGTGTGGTACACTGTTTTTTGTCAATGCTTATAGGTACTATAAATTCAAGTTCGATCATACTGTTTGTTCTAAGCACAAGAAAAATAACTAAAAATTCATGAAAGATGGCATTTAATTGTACTTCCCAAAAATGTTTTTCTTAGGAGATACTATAAAAGAGATGTCTCAGACTTAAAGCTGCTAGGTTGTGGTGTTCAAAAATCCTTTTGCAACCCATTCAAGGATAAGCCTCAGAATAAAAAGGAAGTGAGGGAATTAGATTTACTAATTTAATATAGGAGCGTGTGTAACAGTTCAGTGAAAATTCACTACAACATATAATCCTCAAGTCACTTGTCAATACACAGTATTACATGCAGTATCTGCCATTTAAGAGTTAAGTAGCAGTTTGTATAACAAGTAGGTGGTATTTAATAATTCAAGAGATCATGAATAGCTTTAAACAAGAAATGGGAGGATTAGACTTAAACTGGACATGTATGGTATCAGAATCCCAAAGGATCAATACCGGTCAGTGTTGGCTCTTTCTCTCATAGTATTTTAGATTGAGGCCGTAAGTAAAGTGCCGAATGGTTTTGCGCTTGTAGATAACATCTAGTGCTAATGTTTAGTTGTTTTAATCTACAAAACACATATTTAAACTCTTAGCAATCCACTAACCGTGATATGGAGGGAAAGTTAAGCAATTTGACCAGCTGTTTCCGAAAGCCTGCAGTAGTGACATTGTGACATCTGTTGTGATGCTCCTTTTCTCTGTTCCCTTAACTGGTGGTGGGCATGACATCAGGTATGGCCTAGGAGTACAACATAATCACTGCTTCTTCAGGACTTGTTACAATTGCATGACTTTATTATAGAAACAGAATAAAGGAAGTTAGATGTCAGAAGGTGTTAAGGACTGTTTTGACTTGTGCTCTTGTAGCATAAGATTGTATTTTAAAACTCAGGCCTATAAGACTGTATCTGGGATAAACCTTTATTCCTTTGCAAAGAATAGGTACATGGAGAAATGAAAGTAGATAGGTAGGTATACTCTTGTTAATAAGCATGTTGACTTCTTACCTTCTGCATAGGTGTGTGCAGGACATAGGACTAAATACCTGTGAAAAAAAAGTAATTGTTCAGGTAATGAAAGTGCTGCTTCAGAGCACTTTTGTTTCATGGAGAGGGAAAACCTGTTTAGGCTTTGAGTAGAGGATTATTATACCAGAGCTAAAATATGCATATATAAAGGGTAAAAAACCCAAAAAAACAAACAAAACCTACTCCCCAGCTGAGCTGGGCTCTGAAGTAGCACAGCACAAGCTCTGTTAAGTGCTTTTCAAGTCAGGTGGCAGTGTATAGCTTAGCCAGAAGGTTTTTAAGATTTAAGGAGTCTTGGAAGTTAAACAAGCAGCCTCGGATGATGTAGCGTAACAAGTGTGGCATTTTCTGTTTAAATTCATGTTGTCTTTTGTTTTGTTTTGGGGGTTTTTTTGTTTTTATTTTTTTCTGTAAAGTGGTGATCCCACAATAAACAGTACTGAGGAATGTGACTTTGTGAATGTGTACTATAGGTCCTTAAAAATAGAAATTGTCCCTGGAACTCTTAGATAAAACCAAAGAAACGAGAACAAAATGTGCCTTTGCACATAAGAAGGGTATGGGAAAACTGGAAGGAGTTTCTGCTTGCCTGAACTGTTTCACCCATTTTCTCCCCATTAGTTGATAGCAGAAGTGGTTGTTAAGGCACTG